TGACATAGGGAAGTCTGAGATGATACGTATAGTAATGGTCTCCTCAAGATAATCAGAGAATGGATTCTGTCCCAAGACTCCCTCAACAATCTACCTGGGCCTTTCTGCTTGGATGTTCAGATCTAGACCATGTCCCATATTTCTTAGTATATTGAAGTATGTGCCAAACATGAGCTCCCCTCAAACTTAATTGACACAAGTGACCTAAAGAGATTCCAATGACCTGTTATAACATGAGCACAGAGAATTGGGGTCAGGCTTCTCCTCTGACCATCCAGTTGAAAGAGGCTTTCCTTTGTGGATGCTGAATCAGGTTGCTCCTCAAACCTCTTCAGGTTCTGCAGTAATAGAACAGCAGCTAGCCTGTGAGGCCTCAGAAATGGAAAAAACTGAGCAGAGAATTCCCTGGAGGTTTCCAACATCCCCAGCACCTATATTTACAGAATGGTGCATCTGTCCAGCTTTAAGAACTGCCTGGCTGAGTGAAGCCTGCAGCTGCTCTCCCTGCAGTGACCTAGATAATCAGCTTTAATGCTGACTTTAGCCAAGACACGTCAGCTCCCAGACATAGTTGTTGATTCTGGCAGACCAATGCAGGGCCACAGGACCAGGAGCTCTTCCTGCGACAGAGTTATCTCTATAAAGCCATCTGAGATGACTGTTTTTATTTTATGTAGGCATTGTGGAGTGGTATAAGGTATGGTATGGGCAAAAGTGAAGCAAACCCTCAGCCTTCACAATGCCTGGCAGTTCATTTCATCCCAGTGAACTGGTGATCTCTTTTCAGGAAGGAGGTTAAAAGTTTATATATGAAAGAAAAATAAACCTCTTAAATGGTTCTACTAGTACTGTCTCATAGATCACTTTCCTGAAGAACATGAAGATAAATAAGTACTTTCATTAGGATGGTGACAATAACTAAAGTAGTCTTTCTCATTACTGACATTCCAAGGTAGATTCCAGTTTGGGATATTTCTAAATCATACAAATATTAGGAACTTCTGTGCATCCTTAATGGGACTGTCATGAGTCTAACTTGGCTAGTATGATTCAGACCTGGGAAAAAAGATATTTCCTAGAAAGTAGGACCTCTCCAAGTGTACCAAGAAGTTGGGACATTTGACCTTTACAGGACCACCTGATTAAAAGCATGCTCAAAAACAAGGTTCTGCAGGGTGTTAATACTGAGCTAAACAAAGTCAAACAGCTTTCTTCACTGTGAACTGCTAGGAATCTTGCCTGTGTTCTTGGGTGTTCTGAGGTCGCTAAACAAAGACATGATCATGAAGCTTTTGCAACTTAATAGGAAACATCCCTTCCCCCATACTTTATCTATTAACAGCAGTCAGTGTTCTTGCAATGTTTGTTGGTAAATAATCAAGCTAGAATTTCTCTATACCTCTCCTTGTATAGCTCATCAAGGTGATTTTGGACACAATCTAAGTCAGGCCTGGTAATTCTCCAACCTTTAGATCATGTATATGTGGATCTTTATTTTCTTTATTTCTTCAGCTTTCTTGTAATTTATGTCATTATTAGTAAAAAACCAAAAACGAACACAGATACTTTTTTTTATGAAATAAGGCAGTCAAAATTATATGGAAGAAGTTTATAGGTTGAAAAAATTTTAATATATACATTTTTTTAACATATATGCCTATTGTATATGTTAATGTTCCCAAATAAGAAGAAGAAAAGAAGAGGAGGAGGAGGAGGACCACAACAATGACATATGTACATAACATTGATACTAAGATATTTTTAACTCACATATGCAAATAAAATGAAATTAATATAACACGGTTAAGAGAAAAAAATTTAAATAAGCCAAGACAATTTAAATAAAGATTCCCATTTACCAAATTTCTCCTGTTTATTTATCTCAGTTTTGACCATATACTATTCCTACTAAAAGCAAGCCAAAATGAAACAGGATGGTTTATAATATGAAAAATATGTATTGCTAGTCATAAAATTGAAAAATGGCTACTTGCCAGTAGACACATAAATTTTGGAGGAAATACATTTTCTACAAGAATAATTTGTTGCAGGAATAGAAAGTATTTGTTAAAAGCAATAAAATAGTGGAAAAAGATGACCCTTAGGCAATATACAGATAAATTGTTCAGAAGCATAACATATATTGTTTTCATAATTTATTTTGAAACTAATCAATTTTAATTACTTATAAAGTGAAAGACTGAATCTGAGAAAGATGTAGCAAAACAGAGAGAAAGAGTAATTTCTCATGCAGACTCACTTTTACTTAATTGTATATGGCCTACTGTCAAATATGGACAGCATTCATATGAATCTTCACACTGTGAAGAAGCCTTTTGTAGGGGTGTGTCTGTTTTTCTTTCTCCTGAAAAGTCTGCTCTCTACTTGTATGCTTGTCTCCTTGTACAGTCTTACTGTTAGATTCAGAGGCATTCTGTCATTTCGGTTCTTCCAGCAAGAAGGAAAAAGCAACTCCTACTTCATTTCCTGGAAAGTTTGCTGAAGCTAGGAACTCTGGGAAATTTTCCAAGTTGACTTATACAGGGAGTCATACCTACCCCTATATCTAGGAGTTAGTATGGCCTGAAGAGAAAGGAAGAAGAAAGGAAACAGGCTCTCTGCAACACTCTCCGCTAATAGGCAGATGGTGTTCTTGGTTTCAGCATTCCATAAACCACATAAGAGGGAAGCAAGAAGACTGTGATAAACAATTTTATTCTTCATTTAGTAATGGTAGCAGTAAGCAAAAACTTACTATATAAACACTATAACAGGATGCAAAGTTCACTTATATTTTAATTGTTTCATTTGTAAAAAAAATACCATATGCTCTTTCAATTTAACTAAAAAAAAAAACACAGAAAACAAAGAATTTAATCTCTGAACCTGTGTTACCCTTTCATAGATTTGTTGATAAAATGAGGCAGTGCAAGTAAAGCTGTAGGATAGAACCTGGTATATGAGTGTTCTGAAATGTTAAGACTACAAAGCTATATGACTAAATCATAAAAGCTATCAAAATTTTGTTACACTTCTGTCTAGATTTTTTCTATGCAAAGTTGTGTATTTTATCATAAAAATATTAGACATGATTCTTGAACTTTTAAATTGAAATATGGAGAATAAATGCAAATCACTATACATACAGCTCAATGCATTTTCATAAACTGAACACAATATACAGTTCAAGTCACCCATAACCACCTCCCACCAAAATCTCATACTGCCTTCCAGTCACTAATCTCACTCTTAATGGGAATACCCATTTTCTTGACACCGTACAGATTAATTTGGCTTATTTTTGTTTGGAATTGAATAATTTCTTAGGCTTATGATTTTGAACTTAACTCTTTCCCATCTCTTAAGGTACTAATAATATTAATCATGTCTACCAAGCCCCTTATTGCTACTCATACATAGGTATCCTGCTAAGCACTTTATAAGCATTTTCTTATTTAACAGCAAACCCATGAGATAAATATTAGCTATTACAATACAGTCCCTTTCCACTCTTCATAAGCAGTAAATTCCAAGGCAATACAACTGTGTTGGCAACACAGCTTAATGATCAGATGAAGGGTTCAGACCCTGGAATGGGATTCCTGGCTTAAATCTAACTTTACTACTTGCCAACTATATTATCTATTTCTCTTTTTTCTTTTTGTGGAATAATAATAATAATAACAACAACAACTTTGTAGGATTGTTTCAAGAATTAAAGAGAACATTTATGAAGCACATAGTTCATTTTTTTAAAGACCTATTTGCTTTCGTGTTTTTTATTAATTATTTTAATTGGGTATATTTGACAGCAGAATGCATTTTGATTCATTGTACACAATTGCAGCAAAACTTTTCATTTCTCTGGTTGTACACAAAAGTGTCACATCATAGGTGCAGTCTTACATGTACCTAGAGTAATAATGTCCATCTCATTCCACCATTTTTCCTGCCCCCATACCCTCTCCCTTCCCCTCCTTCCCCTTTGCCCAATCAGAGTTTCTCCATTTTTCCCATGCCCCTCCCTTCCCCCATTTTGCATCAGCATCCACTAATCACAGAGAACATTCTGTCTTTGGCTTTTTGGGATTGGCTCACTTCACTTTCAATGCTATAAATAACTTTTTAACAAACATGGTACACACAGTTCTTTCAAGTTTGTGTGCATTTTCTACTGTGAATTTACATGATTTTATTAGCCACAGTCTGTACCTTTTGGGAGTTCATCGAAACCACTGAGTGGCTTGGCTGTTGCTTGGGAGGAACATGGCTAACTGCCACCTCACTGCTGAGCGGGAAGGGAATGTTTTCCTAATGTTTTCATTTCATAGCCTGCTCAAGAACACAGAGGTGGCCTGTTAGATAATATAGTTCCCATAAACTGAATATGTTATACTGATGTGTTTAAAGTAGGGACATCTAGTACCAGAAACTAGAAAAAACTGAGAGGCAAATTCATTACTGGCTGGCATAACCTTCGAAATATCAAGCTGGATATAACAGAGGGTTTCCTGAAGCTTAATGACCATCTAAAGTTAGTGCTGGCCTTTAGCAGTCTCATGATTAACATATCCAAGCAGATCATTAATCTCTGGGAAATGCTTAGTATTTTGATTGCTGTTTGCTTCACTGAGGTTGTGAATAATTTAGTAAGGACTGATTATATAAATTTGAACAAAGAAAAGACTGTTTTTTTTCAAATATGCACAGTAGCACCTCCTAGTGAGCACAGTTTATAATCATAAAAGGTTTAAAGAATTTCAAAAAATGCAAGATTATAGATTTGTCATAGGTTTTGATTAGTAGAAAGTATTTTCTTGTTAAAAGTTAAAAAAAACTATATATTTTCAAAATGTGGAAATAAGTCCAGATAGTTGCAATGTAGATGACTTTTTTAAAAATAAAAATTTAAATTCTCATTCTGTAATAACATAGTAAAATAGAACACTGAAACATTGGAAATTTTTGTTTTAATAAGAATATCTTTTCTATTTTTGCAGGTCAGAAAGGGTTCTTTGTGTGATATCGTTTCCTTTCCAGCAAAGACTGCTTTAACTAGCATAATATATGCTTCATATGCAGCACTAATTTATTTGGTAAGTTCTATTGGAATCTAGAAAATAAATATAACTTATTTTAAGCAATGTTAAAGATAATACTATACAATTGTGTGCTATATGATGTTATCTTTAATGATACTATTCGAAAACTAAGGTACCATTCTCTTGTAACACAAAAATAATTTCATGTTTGATACTTTCTGAGGAGCCAAATGATCCAACAAAAATCAATTTTCTTTAATAACTAAAATTATTTTCAGAAAGCTTATTACTGTTGGAAGGCTTTTGATCAAGACATTTTAGTTTTTGCTTTCATTTAGCTACATTTGTTCCATTTATTATATCCTATGATAGCTGCAGTTCAGCATTCATCATTTTTGAGTCTATGAATTTGGAGAATACAAATATTAGCATATAATGTTTTGATGACAAGTGCTGTACATGACAAAAATATTGAAGATTTTATCCATTATAAGGGCTTTATTTTCTATTAATCAATAGCCATTTATATTTTACTTTAAAAATACTTCTAACATAGAAAGAGAAAAGTGCACAGCTTGATGAATTATCACAAAATCTATTAATCTATGCAGTAATCAGGTAAAGAAGCAAAACATTACCATCATTCTAGAAATCTCTTTCTTTTACACTTAAAATCATTACCCTTTTTAAAATTTTTTTTACTTGTAGATGAATACAATACCTTTATTTTATTTATTTTTATGTAGTGCTGAGGATGGAACCCAGTGCCTCACACATGCTAGGCAAGCACATTACCACTGAGCCACAACTCCAGCCCCTTCATTACCCTTTTCTATAAAGGCAACCACTGCCATGATAGTTCAGCTTTTAAACTGTATGTAAATGAAATAATATAGCTTATAATCTTTTGTGTTTGTCTTCTTTTGCTCAGCATCATTGTGAGATTCATTTGTTGTCCGTAGCAATAGTTTGCTCATTGACATTGCCATGTAGTATTCCCTCTATCATCATTATTTTACCACTTCAACTGCTGATGAGCATTTGGAGTATTTCCACTTTGGACTATTATGAATAAGACTACTATAAATATTATTGTACATATCTTTTGGTGAAATTTTTAGGTCATTGAGTATGCATGTGTTTATCTCTAGTAAGTATTACAAAACAGTTTTCCAGAATAGTTTGTAGCAATTTACACTAATCCTAGCACTTTATAAAAATTGTAATTACTTTAGATTACCACAGACACTTGGTATTGTCAGTATTTTCCATTTCAGCCACTTCTGTGGGTATGTAGTATTATGTTCATTGTGATTTTAATTTTCATTTCAATGATTTGCATTCATTAAATGGATATTTAGATATCCTCCTTTGTGCATTTCTGTTAAAGTCTCTTTTTCTGTTGAGAGATATCAAATTTTTTAAATTATTGATTTGTACTTTAAAAATATATTATAGGAGAAAGTCCTCTTGAGATTATATATGGGCAAATTTCTGTTTTTATCCTGTGACTTGCTTTTTCACTCTCTTACCACTCATTTTCTTCATTTTAATGTAGTTCAATTTATTAATGTTTTCCTTTTTGCTAAGACTTTGTATCCTAATTAGAGAATCTCAACTTATGTCCAAGGCCACAAAAATATCCTCCTATTGTAGTCTAGAAAATATATTATTTTGCCTTCCACTTTTAGATTTATAATCCATGTGAAATTGGTTTGAGAAAAGGGCCAAATATTTTCCCCCATGAGTATCCAACTGATTTATCTCAATTTCTCAGAAAACAAAAGTCTTTTTTCTATTGTCCTAGAAGAACCCCCACCCCTTTTTTAAAAATCATAAATCAAGTGTCTTTTTATGTAGGTCTGTTTATTGTTGGCCTATTTGTCTATTTTTGCACCAATTTAGCACTATATTACAGAGCCTTATACGATGTCTTGATAACCGAATAAGTCCTTCTCCTAATACAGGAACATATGTATCTATTTATTTTGATCTTTAATTTCTCATAATCAATTTATGTTTTGCTGGAATTCTTACATATTTTTATATCAAAACAAATGATATTAATCTTTCCCACACAATCTATAAATTTATACCTGTCCCAATTAAAATCCAAGCAGTTGTGTGTGTATAAGTTGATTCTAAAATACTTAGGGAAATGCAAAAGGCTAAGAATATCTTAACCTGCACACCCAGCTGCACCCTGGTGGTACTTGACAGTAATCCCAGCTACTAGGGAGGCTAATGTAGGAAGATTGCAAATCCAAGGCCAACCTGGGCAACTTTGTGAGACCCTTAAAAAAAAAAAAAAGTTTAAAGGCTGGCAAGGATAGCTCAGTGGTAAAGCACTTACCTAGCAGGCATGAGGTTCAATTCCCAGCACCAAAAAAAAAACAAAAAACCCAAGACATTCTTGAAAAACTACAACTTACTTTTAAACATGTTATTTCATGTTTTTAAAAAAATCTTGAATGTATCAAATATTTTGCAAATGTTTTGTTTTTGAGAAGTTCTCAATATCTTAAATATGAATCTTGTATAAAATTGGCATCAATTGAATTAAGATGTAAGTACTCTACGAATATAGTAGGATGGATGAGTATAGGAAAATAAAAACTAAACTAAAATCAAAATTAAACTTCAGTTTCTCAAAGCCTGTTTGAAACCATCCCAGTTTGTAACACTATAAATTTTACAAGCAAATAATAAAAACCTCTTAGTGAACTGTTAATTGATCAGATAAGCATCCAAGGCCTGAAAGAGGCCAAGGTTGGAATTATGGTTTTAAAAATAAATAACACATGTATTGGAGATTAATACCACATGAGTGGAACCATGCCAAGTGCAAAGAATGCAGTCAACAGAAATGTGGAAAAGAGCAACATTTAAGGTGAACTAAGAAGGAATTTATCTATGGAGGAGACAAAAAAGCAACACTTAGAAAAGCAGGAAGAGAATCAGGAAAAAATGGTGTCAAGGAAATAAAGAGACTCAGGAAGGTGTCAATGGTTATCAAATACAAGCAGAAAAGATCAAGTAAAAGAAAGATTTGAAAAGTATATCAGGTCTAGTATTTAAGATGCTAAGCTTAATCATTTTGAGAACTAGTTCAGTGACATGCTGGGATAAGAAAGACAGAAATAAACAGGTTTTAGAGTGAATAGGAGATGATAAAATGGAAACCAAGAACATCAACTGGTTTGATTAAGAGGAGAAAGTTATATAACAGTCAAGAGAGAGACAGGGCTGCAGGGAATTCCAATTTTAGGATGGAAGATTATTCATGAGTATTGTAGGGGAAGAGCCAGTCAAGAGTGACAGGTTGCACATAAAATCCCAGCAGCTCAGGAGGCTGAAGCAGGAGGATCATGAGTTCAAAACCGGCCTCAGCAACTTCAAGGCACTAAGCAACCCAGTGAGAACCCATCTCTAAATAAAATACAAAATAGGGCTGGAGAGGTGGCTGAGTGGTCGAGTGCCCCTGAGTGCAATCCCCGGTACTAGGAAAAAAAAAGAGTGACAGGTTGAAGAGAGAAGGAACAACCGACAGAGAAATTGGTAGGGTACAGGTTAAAACAAAGAAAGGCATACTGACCTCAATGAAAACTCTTCGTTTTCTGAGACTGGAGTGAAAGTTCCTTAAAATGGGCATAGATATAATTTTGTAGATGATGAAAGAGGGAATATCAAATAAGAGAGAACTTTACAATATTTTTTTTCACAATATAGCATAGTAAATCATCATATTGGGTTATGTGGATGAGGTTATGTGTTGTTAGAAGTGATAGATTTGAAAGTTTCTAGCTCTGAGTTTGGGCATATTCAAAATGCAAGTACCAAAAAATATAAAAATATGTTACTGACATTTAATCATCTTAATTAGAAGTCCGTAGTTAGTTAGGCAGTTCCTAATTTTGTATAGTGGGATCTACAATGCCATCAAGAAATCAGGTGCTCTGGTCTGAATGTGTCCTCTGCAAATCTGTATGTTAACTAACCCCCAAGGTTTGATATTAGTAGGTGGGATCTTTGTGAAATTATTAGGCATCATGAATGGGATTAGTGTCCTTATATTATAAAAAGTCCCTGAGAGTTGTCTTTTTCTCTTCTACCATATATACACAGTTAAAAGACACCATCTATGAACAAAGCAGACCCTCACCAGACAGAATCTGTCTGCCATCACCTTGACCTTGGGCTTTCTAATCTCCAGAACTGATAAATAATCCTATTGTTTATAAGATACTCAGTTTATAATATTTTTGTGATAGCAATATGAACAGATTAAGACATCTGGGTCTTTCTACCTTTTTCTCTAAAAACTGTTTTTAGTCCTTAGGTTTGTTACCTCATGCTCAGGCATCACCTCAATATCAGTGTCTGAAGCTGGAAGGGGAAGATAGAGGCAAAAGACAAACATCTTTCTCTTTAAGTAGGAGGAAAAACTTCCAAATACCTTTCCTGACCTCTTTCCCAGCAGACATATAATTTTATTTCATTGGCCACACGCTAACTGAAGAAGTGTGGAAAAGCTGTGCTCCTGTGTTCTATGAGAGGCAGGCAGGCAAGTGGGCAGGATCCAGCTGAAGTTCTTCAAAGCCTGAGTCTCTCAGCCCTTTTGCTACTACCTTTTTTTTTTTATTAGTTGCTCAAAACATTACAATGATTTTGACATATCATACATTTGATTCAAATGGGGTATGAATTCTTATTTTTCCACGTGTACAGATTGCAGTATCACATTGGTTATACAGCCATACTAGTGTCTGTTGTATTCTGCTACCCTCCCCTCCCATCACCTCTCTCTACCCAATCTACTGTGACACATTTCTCTCTCTGCTACTGCTACTACCTCTTCAAGAAAACCTTTTGTGTTTATGCTCCGTTATTCCATCTTGAAGCATTTCTTTTGTATAATAAACTAGTTTAAGTTCATGTTTCATAGAAATTTCTATTCCCTTTGCTTGCCTTAACTACTTGACAACATCATCATCATCATTTTCATTGTTAGAAAACTCACAGGGGAAATTTAGTGAATATCCTTCTTAGAGATTCTAATTTTTAAAATTGTTTGAGACGTTTCTCCTAGAAGCACTGAATGGCATTTTTTTTTAGGTGGAAATTGGGTCATGTGTTTGCTTAGAAATCACTGATTTGCAAGCTTACTAAATTCTTACCAAAATGTTTATGTCCTTCCTATTGTACACACAGGTACAAGCAAAGTCTGGGAGGAAGAAATTAAAACAAAAAGCCTACTTTGAAATGTTTGGGAACAAATTCCATCTCTCAAAAAATGTTTCATTATATTTAGTCAGAAGAATAAAGAAGTGAAACAGCTAATGAATTGAGGGAAAAAAAAAGATGTAAAGCACATTTTAACTGAAGCATACTAGGTTTTAAATACTCTTTAGAATTTGGTGTTATGTATTTAGAACAGGGAATCAGTCTCCCAATACTTACCATATACCAAGTGCTTTCTGAAAGGAAGTTCTGTTTTATTAGAATATGTAGATTATTTATGCTAAATATTTTATTGCCTTTTTTTAATCTGTGGTTGTTAGTAGTTTAAAAAGAGACTTCACTTTTCAAAATTTTTGAAAATTATATAGGCAGTCTGCATTAATGCTGTGCTGGAGAAGGTAAAGCACATTTTCCAAGAAGAAGAATCCATAAGGCAAAACAGAGAGAGTGAAAATTTTAGAAAAGCCTTTTCAGAGCCTGTGATTTTGGAGCCTGCATTTCCTGAAGGTGAAATCAAAGCAAAACCTTACAGGTCATTGTCGGAGAAGCCAGACAACATTTCAGATCTCCCCAAGCTTCCTGCTAATAAGCAGAGTAATAAGATCCAGGTTTTACATTCGGTGTTTGACCAATCAGCTGAAATAAATGAATGAAGAAATCTAAACACAAACATCACTGCAGAGACCTTGAATTATCTATGAAATGGCACATTTCATCTGATTAAAAAAAAAAGAAAAAAAAAAAGCTCCAGGGTGAGGATGGGGGATACTACTATGCAACTGTCATTCTCTAGTATTTATATGGTAGAGAAAATAAAATGAATCGATGTATAATAAACATATGATTATGAGTATTTTTAATGAACAAAAAAATTCTCCTTTTGGTGGGTTAGACTTTATACCAAGGTTTTTTTATTTTTTTATTTTTTTTAAAGAGAGAGTGAGAGAGGAGAGAGAGAGGGAGAGAGAGAGAGAATTTTTAATTTTTTTTTTTAGTTCTCGGCGGACACAACATCTTTGTTGATATGTGGTGCTGAGGATCGAACCCAGGCCGCATGCATGCCAGGTGAGCATGCTACCGCTTGAGCCACACCCCCAGCCTATACCAAGGTTTATAATATCAGCATATATATAATACTTTTATTAAAGATTTGTTTTTGGTGTCTGAGAGGGAAAAAAATTCCCTTTTCAGGGATAATAAAAGGATATTTATTTTCTATCTGAAAGCTTCACAGTTTGAGTCTACCTACCAATTTTTTAATAAACTTACTTGTAAAGTTATGAAAGACTTCCAATTTACAAATGCCATAAAATATTATTTACAAATCTGATAAGATTTCTGTATATGAAGACCCCCTACACACCTTTTTTGTTTTTTCTTTTTTTAAGAGATTAGGTCTCACAATGTTGCCTAGGCTGGCCACAGACTCCTGCGTCCAGGAATCCTTTTGTCTCAGCCTCCCAAGTAGCTGGGACTATGGGTGCCAGCCATACTGTACCAGGCAATGTTACCTTTTTTTCTGACATAAATTTAGAACCAGAAACCATTATTGCCATTGACTCCTAAGAACAAATCCTTTTGAAACTGGCCCTGCAAACAAGGGTGATAGTGTTTGCTTGCAGGAGACATTTTGGTTTCTTCTGTGCACTCTTCCCTTACCCCAATGGGGACTGAATCCATGGGCACTCTACCACTGAGCTATATCTTCAGTTCCCCCATCTTTTATATTTTGAGACAGGGTCTCACTAGATTGTCCAGGCTAGCCTCAGACTTGCCATCCTCCTGGCTCAGTCTTCTAAGCAGCTGGGATTACAGGCATGTGCCACCATGCCTGGCTCTTCTGTACATTTTAAATTGTGAACTTGTGATAAGACCTTAGTGGTCATTCAAGAATTTGCACCTGATATAATAGGCTCGGATGAACCTACCTCAGAGATGGCACATTTTCTATACCTGGTGAGTAGCTGCTGTTATAAACAATATATAATATAAACAATATTTATAAAAGCCCCAAACTCTCTTGTTAATAACCTGAGAAGTCAATAACAAATGTATTACTTCGTGGTACCCAGATTCCAACAGGAAACATAATAATATATAGCAAAGGCTATATAATATATATACATACATACATATATACATATATTACTATATATAGTAAGATGTCTTTTTTAAATACCACATTCACTATTTTTACAAATAACCAAGAGGCCAAGTAGGCCCCTTAGAATGTTAAGCATTATATTCGAACTCTTAATTTGATCTTAAATCATGAAGACTACCATGAGACTACCATTGAGACTATTCTACTACTCATTGAGACATTCTTAACAGTACTGAATTCATAAGATACCCATTACATTCTACAGTGTGTTGCTGAGTTTTGCATAATTGACATCCAGAGTGTTATTTTTAATACTTATGCTCTGTTATTCCATCTTGAAGCATAATTGGCATGATTGGCATCCAGAGCGTTATTCTTAATAGAATAGCACTGGACATAAATAATGTAGTTAAATCAGGGTGAACCACCTGTTGTGCACACATGCACAAAGTTTTCTAAAATAAAAAACAAAACAAAACAAAAAATCTTTTATTTAATCTGAGCACAGTGGTGAATGCCTGTAATCCTAGTAGCTAGGGAGGCTGAGGCAGGATCACAAGTTCAAAGCAAGCCTTAGCAACGTAGTGAGGCCCTAAACAACTAATGATGACCTTGTCTCAAAAAATAAAAAAGGGATGGAAATATGACTCAGTGTCCCTAGGTTCAATCCACCATACAAAAGAAAATTTTTTTTGGATGTATTCTGTTGGTAATACTTAAATCATACAAAATACATGAACTTTTAAACTCTCATAGATATGTGTTGAAAAAAATCATCTTTGGTATGGAAGCAAAGTTATTGTAAAAATATTTCCACACATACACAACACTTTTCATTGTCATATATTTTTATCAGAAAGAACTCCGAATTACTTTGAAGTCTCCAGTGGCATAAAAATCAGAGTCACACTTAAAGGGTTCCTTAGAAAGAGTCACATAAATATTCCCATTATCCACTGTCACTCTATGAATCCTTTGCTTTATTCCTTTGGAGCACCACTTGGGTTTTGCTGATGGATCTTTAGGGTTTTTAGACTGGTATAATCCTTCTCCTGTTGCCAAAGTAATTTTGAATTTATGCCAGGGGCAAACTATACATGGTCGTCCATCAAAATCCTGGGGAAAGAAATAACTGATTTAATAGTCTGGACATTTCAAATGTTCATGATAACCTCGGACTTAGTATAGAATATATGCAGAAAAGCTAAGTTAAAGAACAGGTCAGCTTTTATTCCCCCTCCATTTACAAATTATTCAGCATAAAGCATAACCTAACTGGAGAACAGTCATTAAGTCCTTTTTGCAGTTGATTAGAAACCCAGTGTGTTAGAGCTCTATCAGAAGATGACTTGCTCAGGCAAATTATACCAAGACTGCAGCATTGTTATCTGTCAATGTCATCTCTACAGAAGTGGGGGAAAGGCTTCCCTCACTTCTGAAGGAACTTTCAGTAGCTGCTGGAAGAACTGTAAGTTCCAGATATGAATTCAGGAGGAGTTATTAAAAGCAGGAGTGCAAATGTTAATTGAAAAGCAATTTGTGATTCCAACTTTGTAACTGTGTCTTAGTGAGGTTCTTCTCAAACTTGAAGGAGAATGGGAATCATCTGGGTCTTGTTTACATGCAGTGCTGTTTAAGTTCAGAAAGCTTACAGCATTGGTGCAATATTCTCCATGCCAATATTCTCCAAGATTTCTGGGCTGTGGATCACACTTTGGATAGCAAGGTCTTAAAGCTCTCATTATGAACTGAACTGGGGGAAATTCTGACATTATGATAAGTAGGTGCTTACATTTTTCCTCTACACAAAATTTAGAAATACTGATTTTTTCCCCCTCATAGCACCATCAGCAGACACATTTTCATAATTTAAACATACAAATGTCCTTTAACATGAGGACAGGTATAAACCAGGGTGGATATCAAGTTAAATTATGTTTTGTTTGTATTTTTTTCCTCATGGTACTGAGGATTGAACCGAGGACCTCATGTATGGTAGGCAAACTCTCTCTCTACCACTGGGCTACATCGCCAGCCACCAGGTGGACATCAGGTGTAGAGACAGTGAAATGCTAAGTTCAGGTTTGTATTTTGTGCCAGTTATAGATAGAGAAGTAGAGAGACAGGGATAGAAGAAAAAAAGTGATTAGTTTGGAATACAAGGAGGCAAAGGTAATTCCTCCATTATTCTTTAGTTAAGACTTCAAAGTGTAATTTCTTTAAAATTTTTAAGAAATATTATTTTATAAAATATATGATCATTATAAAAACATACAAAGTATAAAGTAAAAAGAGTATATTCTTTTTAATATAAAAATGAAATATCATTAGAAGTACTATTCTAGGACTTGTTATATCGCTCACAAATACACTGTTAACATTCCTCAATACCAGCACATATAGTTCTGCCTCATTAATTTAATGGTCATACGGTATTCCACAGCATGACTGTACTACAATTTATTTAATCAGCTTTCTATTGTTAAAATGTTTAGGTTGACCTCGATGTTTTGTTATAATAAACAATGCTAAAATAAACCTTTCCTATAAAGAGACAAACAATGTGCAATTATATTCATAGGATAGATATCTCAGAGTATAATTGTTAGGTCAAAGACATGCATAGTTCTTATATTATCTGCAAAATGGTTTTCCTTACATTGTAGGGTTATGAATACCAAAAATATCTGCAATTACATTAAAGGCCCTGAAATATAATTAAATCCAAATATACATTATTTTTGAATAAAGAATGAAATGCAAGAATGTAAATAGGAAACATCTGAGTTTGTTGAGAATAAATTCTACATACCTCTATTTCTCCCAAATGTAAAGGTCCTCCTGAATCTGAAAAGTAATTGAATATTACATGTAGTCATTTAAAATCCTGAAATTTGATAGTTTTATGACTTATAAACACAATTTGTATAGAAAAAATAAAAATAAAATCTTACGATAACAGCGAATATCCATAGCATGATATTCTCCTCTATGGTAGAAAATGACCACTTCTCTGTCATGGACAACAGCTGTCATTCTTTCAGATTTTTTAATGTCATCTTCTCTGCCAACACAGACAGAAGAATATTCCTTATCTTCAGGATCTTGTACAGACCCATCAGGATCCATGCTAGTTGGGGTGGAGGAGGAAAGAAAGAAAATTGCAAATGGTCTATTTGACTACAACTCACAGAGACATTATAATAAGAGTCTGATTTCTTGACTAATGGGTGCATTTTCCTGTAACTATATGAAAGAAAACACTTAAAAAAAATCTTGATTATAGTTAGTCCTTACTTGAGTTAGAGACTCCTTGTGTCTGCCAAACTTAGAGAGGGCTCCCCCATTCTAAGTCTAGATTTGTATTAGATTAATTTTAATGCTTAAGATGGAAATTTCAGAACTACTAAGGCATGGATTAAAGATTTACGACTTCTTCACTCCCTATTAATTTCAATTCTAAACAACATCTGGTTACAATCTGCATTGTTTCCAGCCTTCTGCTGAAGGTAGTCTGAAGAGTCTTGAGCCCTTTGACTATGAAGGCTCACTTATTTTTGTCTACAGCACATAGCCACCTCTTAGAGGCACAACCAGATAACTACTCTAAAATGAGCGGATAGGTATGAATGGAATTCTTTCATTTTCTTACCTTATATAAAAATTGTCATTACTACTTTGGCCTTATTTTTGGGCATTCAAAGAGATTCTCCTCAATTAACTTACAGAAGGGAATTTGCAGGTGTCATGTATTTTTTTTTCTCAGCACAGATATTCAGTCTATTTATTTGAAAGTGATCCAAAAACCCTTTTATATACTTTGAGAATAATATATTCACAGATTATTAATTCCATGTTAGAAGGAAACATCAAGATACATGAGCGTCAGTGGTTAGGCACCTGGCATAGAGCAGCTCACTCCACAATGCGGGCAACAGAAAAGGGGTTGCCTATCACATTATGATATAAGACCCCGAAGAACCTGGACCGTTTTCTTGGAACAGACCTACTTCAATTCCTTTATTATGTGACAGAAATTAAAAGTTTATGACAGATGAAAGAAATTAAAGTTTCATATAGCATCTAATCACAACCTACTTTTATCTTTGGAACACTGACAGACAAAATTTTCAGTCTATTTAGGAGGAATGTAAGTTTGGAAACACAAAGCAGGTAAAATTCTCAAGGAGTGGCTATCAATAATAATCTTTATCACAGATTTTTAAAACAAAAAACTTGCAACAGAAGTTCTTCAACTTCTCTTGTATAGTTCTCCTTCCTTGTTAGAGATAGTCATTCATGATAAATAGTAGAATGTTAGATATTTATCAGTCATGACAAATATTTTCTGAACATCCACTATGTGATTGGCACTTCAGGAAATAAGACATAAAAGTTTCTGCCCTCCAAGATAAGTAGAAAGTGCCCCAAGATGGTCACTAATAGAACTTAGTAGTATCAGTGACCAAACTAGTTGGAATTGTTTTATTAAACAAAATTATCTAACTCATGAATTTTACTGTTTAAAAGTCTTACTAAACAGTAAAATTCATGAATTTTATTCTGAACTGTAATGACTTTCAAATAAACTTTATGGGTTCTTGCTATCACCTATTATACATGCCTGCACATGCATGATTTTTTTTGTGTATTTGTGTGTGTGCATCTGGGAGCTGAAGAAAGGTAGTTTATTCTTCCTTTCACTATAGTTTTCCAAGAATTTTATATTATCACACAACTAGCTACATTAATATTTTTGATAGATGGTGAGACTAATAATAAGTAAATGCATAAACAGCTATACATCATAAAAGCCAAGAAGAAAATAAACTGAGTAATGTAAGAAAGTAACAGGAAGATGATTTTGCTAAGAATAGGCAAGAAATATAACCGAGATAATAAATGGTTGAAACCAAATGCAAATGAGTTGACATGCTAAGAGCTGGTAGAAGAAAATTCCAAACAGAAGGAATGGCAAATACAAAAACCTGAAGAAAAGAAAGGGCATGGTTAATCTGAGGAACAGAAAGGATTCTGGAACATAATGAGCAAGATTGGCATAAAAACACAAGCCAGGTTGTGCAGTGCTGTGTGGGGGCTTTATTCTAAGAGCAATGGGAAGCTACTAAAGGATGTAAAGCATGATTTATTTTTAGACATGATCTATCTTTTAAAAAAAATGCCCTGGATTCTATGGAGAATGAATTATAGCAGAACAAGAATAAAAGCATGGGGATATGGGGGTGGACAGAAATTCAGTAGATAAAGGAGAATGGAAGGAAGGAAGGGGGAATAAGAAAGAGAGTGGAATCAATATATTATAACTTTCCTATGTACATATATGAATACACCACAGTGAATCCCACCATCGGGTACACTCACAAGAATGGAATCCTAATTAGAATAGATATATTCCATACTTGTATAATTATATCAAAATGGATTCTACTGTCATGTGTAACTAAAAAGAAACAAAAATAATAATTTTAAAAAAGAAGTAAAGCATGGAAATCAGAAAGTTACCTTAGTGGACCATGGGAGAGATGGTGGCTTAGATTAGGGTGTTTCCTTTGTGGGGGAGAAAAAAGTAACAACAACAACAATGGCATAATAAATTACACTAAATGCCAGACTCTATTTTAAGACTTCATTGATTTACTTCTTCAATCCCCCAACATATTACTTTTTTGGTGGTGCTGGGGATTGAACCCAAGGACTTGTGCATGCGAGGCCGGCACTGTACCAACCCCCAAAATATTACTTAAAAGGTATTATTTAATTTTACAGTGAGAAAACTGAGGCACAAAGAAGTTGGGCTGATGGAGTGAAGGCACTAAAGAAAAATAAATAGAGATGGTTTCCAAGTTTTAGGTTTATGCAGTGAGGTGAACTGCAGTGCCGGTGACTCTGACTGTGATGGGAAAGACTGAGAAAGAATGGTAATTTTACAGCAAAGGAAAATCAAGCACTTGCTGTTTTTTGTACATACTGAATTTGAGGTGCCTAAGAGACATCTGAGTGGAGATATCTAGGCAGCAGTCAAACATAGGAGACTAAAATTGAGGATGACTAAAGAAAGAGAATCTTAGTAGTTTTCTAGTTATAGAAAACTAAGTTCAATGCAATCACTTAGGGAGCACAGACAGGGGAGAAGAAGGTCTAAGAAAATTCTTAAAGCACTTTAACATTTGAACATTTAGAGGTTAAGTGGATAAGAAGCTAAATAGAGGCAGACCACTAAGTGTGTATAATTTATTGCTAATCAAATTAAATTCCTTCATTGCTTTCTCATCTTTTCTGTATTCTCTTCAAATTGCAAGTAGGTGATAACATGCAGGGGTCAGGGAAAGGCAGTTAAGGAGGTAAAAATCTGCTCTAATACTGGCTACCTCTGTGTGTTAAACAATAAATGATACACGAAGAAAACATGGGTTTCCTAGGAAATTTACTCCCAAAACTTTGGTTTTCATTAAGAGCTGGGTCTACCCTTTTATCTTTGTAAATTCACATATACCACTACTTGCCTAGAAATTAAATACTAGTTAGTATTCAAGTAAGAGCTTACATTTAGAATAGAAACACTATAACTCCTTTTCCCTATATTTCTAAAGTTTATCTTCTATTTCACTCTATAATGTCCTTTTGGCCAAATATAGAAATTAAAAGGTCAGGGAAAAAAATAACCAAGTTCAAGAAATCTCTCAATAGTATTCATAGGGACAGACTCAGGGTTCTGGTTTGATCCAATACTTAAATCAAAATGATGATTCAGTTTCAGTTCCATTTTAACAATTTAATCATTTTTTTAAAGATTGATATGATTTTTTTATACCTTTTTATACCCTGTATAACATTTAGCAGTCATTTTTCAAAATTCAAAGTTAGAGACATATTCAGCCTTAAAAATGGTATATGTGGGCTGGGGTTGTGGCTCAGTGGTGGAACACTTGCCTAGCATGTACAAGGCCCTGGGTTCAATCTTCAGCATCACATAAAAATAAATAAAATATAAAGATATTGTGTCCAACTACAACTAAAAACTAAATATTTTTTTTAAAAAAATGGTGTATGTGTACATTTCCAATCCCCAAATAACTCTTTGGTCATCTTACAAAACCTCACTAGATGTTCATGATAGATATAAACCTTCTCAAACAAAATGTAACTACAATTCTAAAGGTTGTGACAAGTCTAGGTTTTTTATTTAATACTTTCATTTTTAGTTCCATTTTAACAATTTAATCATTTTTTAAAGATTGATATGTTTTTTTTTATACCTTTATTTTATTTTTAATGTGGTGGGGGGGATGAACCCAGTGCCTCACACATGCTAGGTGAGCGCTCTACCTCTAAGCCACAGTCCCAGCTCCAATAATTTAATCATTTAATGGATTCATTTAACCAGAATGGGAAACTACAGAAAGGCCTAGACAACTTGAGAGGAATCTAACCCTGCCTACTACAAGATAAGAAATTACACATGGAAAAGGAAAGGAAGTAAATAAAATGATGTCCCTTGTTATCTGTAGAGACTCAGGTGCTGTTAAACACTAAGATATTTGCTATGAAATGCTCATAGTAAACATAATATACTTGGAGCTGGGGTTGTGGCTCAGTGCTAGAGCACTTGCCAAGCTTGTGTGAGACACTGGGTTCAATTCTCAGCACCACATATAAATATATGAATACAATAAAGGTCCATCAACATCTAAAAAACTTTTTTAAAAACATAATATACTTGTCTATAATTTAATGTATTTATCAAAATTATGGACCTCAAATCAACTTTAAATAAATACCGCAATTTTAAGAAGCTCGTCCTTTATAATCAATAGTCTCTTCAAATACAGTAATTTGTCATAACTCACAGAAGTTGGCACAATGTACTTTTTTCCTTGATCAACAGGCCACTTAAATTTTATTTAAGTCCAAGGTTAACATTTGACCTATAACCACCTATATCCAACTCTTTTAAAGGGGGTACTTGGACCTAGCTTAGAATGGTTCTGAACTATAGATCCAATTCTCTCCCAACAAGAAGTTTATGGAAGTGTCAAGGGGCTGCAGGCTTTTTGCAGAGGATTTTCATGATGGCTTCTCTGTTTATTTAAACCTATACAATGGATTAAAAACTTTACAATGTTAGAAGGAAATGAGCATAAGTCACTTTAAAAGCAAGTTTATAAAACAGAAATTATTACAAGTAAAGTCTCTATGTGAGTGTGTTAGGAGTAAGGTTTAGAAAAAGGGCATAGACCATTGTTTTGAGAGGGGTAGTTCTGAGCCCTGTGGAAGACAGATATCTGATGTCATCATTAACTGGATGGGAGGGAGGAGAAGAGAGGGAAGAGAGCTGACAGGAAGGGGGAGGAGGAAAGGGAGAAGAGGAGAGAAAGTGCAAGCATATCAGCATGGAGAGGAAGAGGCATGAGTTTAATTCAATGTATAAAGGAAAGTATTACACAAATTAAGTTTAGGAAATTACAGGAGTATCTCATATGTATTCTGGAGTTTGCCCTGTTAATCCCTGCTTTAAGTAACCTAGTTGGTCTGTAGGTATATAGCTCAGTGGTTGAGGATATGCTTAGCATGAATAAGACTCTGGGATCAATCCCAACATGGCAAAAATAAAACAAACCTATAATTAATCTAATTATTGAAAAAAGAATAGAAAAATAATACAAACATTATTCTAAAAATTTATATCAGAATAAAAAAATATTGTTCTTTAGAAAAGATAATGAGTACCACAAGCATGATTTTCTATATTACTTATGACCATCAGGAGGCTAGAATATTATCTTTCTAAACAGTCACCTGGTTTTACTTGATTTTGGCAGGTACCCAAAATATACAAATTGCTAGGTGGTAGTACTTATCTTCAGAGTTGGGTGTGCAGCCTTTGTTATATTTTGTTACAGAACACACAGAGGGGCAGCTATCATAAGAAAAATGAAAAAAGAGACAAATGAAATGAATGAGGAAAGAGGCTTAGGAAAAAAAAAAGGCAAAGCAATATGAATTTGCAACACATACAACCAACCAAGGATTAAGATGCAGAATATAAACCAGGCACAGTGGCACATGCAATTCAGTGAGACCCTGTCTCTTAAAACAAAAAAGGACTGGGGGCTGTGGCTTAGGGATTGAGTGTCCTTGAGTGTTTCCAGTACCAAAAAAAAAAAAAAAAGGATCTAGAATATATAAAAAAACTCTTATAGACCAGTAAGAAAATGCCAAACAACCACAGAAAAATGGGCAAAAGCATAAACATTTCACAGATGAGGAAATCTGAATGGCCACTAATCACCTGTAAAGATGCTCAAACTCAGGAGGAAAATGCAAAGGAAATGCAAAGCAAAGACACAAATGGGACATTATTTTCCATCCCCCAGAATGGTAAAAATAACACCAAGTATAAGCAAAAATATTGAGCAACCACTAGTGATGACAAAAATTAATGCTCAGTTTGATACTACCCAGTAAAGCTGAACATATACCCAACCCAATAACCCCACTATAAGTATATGCCAGAGAAATGTGCACAGGCACATCAGGCACAAGAACAACTGTAATAGAGACAAGGAACTCAAAACCCATCAGGAGTAGAAGGAGTAATTTTTATGTTTACTCAATAGAATGCTATAAAGCAGTAAAAATGTATTGCTACATCAATTTAGATTTTTTCAAAAACAACTGCAAATGAAAAAAATTCTTAAATATTTCTAGGTAGACTTCCATTTTTATCAAGTGCAAAAGCAAGCAAAACCAAACAATATATTATTCATAAATAAATGCTTATAGGGCAAATTTGTAAAGAAAAGCAAGGGAGATGACAAACAAAATTTCTTAAATGTTTCAAAATATCTAGTCAGTTCTTATATTTGAAATTACTTTTGGGGACTGGGGCTATAGCTCAACGACAGAGCACTTGCCTGGCACATGTGAGGCACTAGGTTCAATCCTTAGCACCACATAAAATAAAATAAAATAAAATAAAATAAAATAAAATAAAGGCATGCTGTCCATCTACAACTACAAAAAGAAAAAAAAATCAAAGAGAAAATGTTAAAAAAAATACTTTTCAATATTTAAATTGTATCCTACTTTATGTCTATGTTGCAAATGACCTAAAACCCAAGCAAAAAGAAGAAAAAGTTGTACTTTATACCCTCATAGAATGTGCTTACACATAGATCATGAATGAATTATTTAAATTTTGTATAGCTTGTGTCAAAATTTATCACTAGAGGAAGAGTAGATGAAGTGTCCCGCCCACCCTCCCCCCATGGTGGGGGAAAAACAAGTATAGAAATACTAGTATTTAATAATACCAAAATACAAGAGATGTAAACTAACACCAAAAGTTAATTAAGCTTGTCCAAATAAAGTCCTTCCCTAAATTTCAGTTTCTTCAGTCTTTGCAAGGTTTGCCTCCAACCAATAAAAACTGTGGTGAACTTTAAAGGGACTGATAAGAAATGAACAGAAAAGGCTGGGGCTAAATGATAAAGGTTTCAGAGAATTACCATTACAGCCTTGCATTATGCTTAGGAAAGTATTATCTCATCCTTCAAATAATAGTTTCCTTTATGTATCATAAGTGGTAGTCTTTATTTATGATATCTGATGACTATTTATAACTAATACCATATTATTCTTAATTGAATACTGTGAATATCATGGTCCATTCAAACAATAGTGAGTCCATGTGTTCACTTTAATTATAGTTACTTTGATGAATTATTCATGTATTCCTACACATTGTCTCTATTTTAGTTTAAGATCTTTTTAAAACTTATTTTTTAGTTTTACATTGACAGACAAAATTGTATTTATTTACTGTGTACAATATGATGTTCTGAAGTATATATTTTCTGTGGAATGACTACATATAGTTAATAAATGCATTACCTCACATAATAATCACTTTGTGGTGCAAACACTTTACATCCATTCCTAGATATTTTTCAATACAGTATTTTATTAACTATAGTCACCATGTTGTACAGTGAATAAAAAGACAGCAGATTCTTAAATGAATGTACTTACACATAGAATGTGCTTTCACATACAGAAAATTAGTCAATTTAGACAGTTTGTGGGATAGGTGAAATTTTCCTTCTGAAAAATTTAACTCTTCTATTCCACAACTGTCTTCAAAAAACATTTTTTGGTCTGTCCCTAAAATTAAGTTTCTAAAGGTGCTAACTCCATATAAAGTTACAAACTAGTTAAATGGATCCTCAGTCACTATTAGGTTTTATTACAAAATAGATAATACATTCAGATTAAATTTAAAGAAAAAAGGGCCTGGGGATATAGCTCATTTGGTAGAGTGCTTGCCTCACATGCACAAGGCCCTGGTTCAATCCCCACCACCAAAAAAAAAAAAAAAAAAAAAGATAAATTTAAAGAAAAATACTTTAACTCCATTAAGTTTCCATAAGACACTGGAGACATAAGAGACATGAAATTAAAGGTACTTATTTGATATTCCTCTTGAGCAAGGACAAAGGTGCTTTTACTAAGTCTGGGGACTTGGCCCATACATTATCAAAATACTTATCACCAGGGTGACACCCTTGCTTTTAGGTTCAGGCAAGAGAAATGCCTTGGACAGTAGTTTTGTATCTCTTTGGATGACAGAATAACAATAGATTAAAAAAAAAAAAACAGCTATCCTCCAGTGAGTGCCTACTGCTTGGCCTCTTTTCATATAGTAGGCTCACTGACTCTCACTAAATTGATGATTAATGACCGAAGATATGAGTAAGTACTAATTAGGTATATCTACATTTCTTATAAAGCATGCAGTCTGCAAGTAAGCCATCCTTTTAGCAATGCAAAGATTTACATCAGTTATGTACATAATGGTTATCTTTATATTGGTGGTATATACATGTATCAGGAAAAAAAGATGGTTCTGATTTTTTTTTCTTTTTAATTTAGAAACGCTAATGTGTAAGAGCTGTAGCCACAAATGTTTAAAATGGAATACAAGCCTAATAAAGTCCTGTAGCTATTCCGTTTTGGAAACGGCCACCATCAGCTGGCATTAGAGCTCCATGATCACAGCTGAGCTCGACTTAAATCCAGGCTTTGCGTGATTTGGGGCGAATTGCTTCATTCTGCTGTGCTGCATAAGAAAGGGGCTGCCACACAGAGCATGGTGAGGGTTAAGTGCTTGAATTCACTTGAAATGATTAGAACAGGGTCTAACCTCAAGAAATGCTTAAACTAAGTTGGTTCTTTACAGCTCTGCCAGTTTGTCTTGAGTGACTTCAAACTGTATTTAACGTTTCAGTAAAGATGATCTGTAGTTATTAAGATCAAGCAGCAGGGCTGGGGATGCGGCTCAGCAGTGGAGCGCTGAGCCAGCACGTGCGAGGCCCTAGGTTCGATCCTCAGCACAACATAAAAATAAAAGTATTGTATCCAACTACTTCTAAAAAATAAATATTAAAAAAAAGAAAGAAAAAAAGAGAGAAGAAGTATGAGCAGCGCCTTGGATAGTCTGGTGGTTCAGATGCAATCCCATAGGCAGACTCCAGGAGACAAATATCTGGGAGGGACAGGTCTGCAGAAACCCTAATGCAGTTATTATTTTAGAGCGCACAAATGCCCAGAAAAATGTTTGAAATCACTAGGGCCGCAGGTCAAGGGTGAGGCCCAATTCCCAAGGTGAACAATGTCAGCGGGCCTCTGGTGCCTGCGCAAAAGCCTGCCCTGGAGGTTAACGGTTAACCAATGCTGAACCCCTGGCCAACGCGTTCGGAGCAATAAAGAGCAGAGGGCAAGGAACAGCACAACTGCCAGCCGCCGCCGCCGGAAGTCCGGGCCGCCGCGGGCCGGAAGCAGCTGGCCCCGCGAGCCCCGCCCCGCGCCCGGCCGCCCAGCCGCGCATGGCGAGAAGAGAACTCACCTCGCTCCGCCTCGGCGAGACCCACCCGCAGTGTCCTCCGCGGGTTGCGACTGCGCGAGCCAAAGCTCTAGCCCTCGCGTGGCGCCTCCGCCGGGAGGGCGTAGTCGTCCACGTGACCTAGGAGTGCCCGCCCCGGGTATGACGACCCCGCCTGACATCCGCACGGCAAAACTCTGCCAGCACCTCAGAACTAACTGGCAGCCTTAATCATGTGTTTGACAAATGTGATCGGTTTACTTATTTGGTGCTTATTAACTCACTATATTTAGCCAAATTTTAAATGCACCCAGCAATCGCTGTCTTAGGAATTTACCTATACAATATTTATAGAAGTTCTTCACGATGCATATAATCCATGTATAAGGATGTTTATTGCAACGAGAGAATAAGTATAGCTAAGTGATAATCAACCCAAGGAAAGGGTTAAATAAAGCACAGTAAGTCCTTAAAGTCCTTAAAGTAATTATTCTCGGATATATCGACTGTTAAAAGGCACAACACAGAATATTATGTGTAGAGTGCACGCCTTAGTGTAAAATTATTTATTGAGATTCAAATATGCTAGTGTGTACACAAACTTTTCTTTAAAAGGCAAAATAAATGTAATGGCTATTTGCGGGAGAGATGGAGGGTGTAGTTTTCCTATTTTGAACTTTGCATTTTTTCTCTGTATACTTACCTGAATTGAAATGAAAAGAAAGTAAACAAATAATCCTCATATTTGTATTTAGGACTGGAAGCTAGATGACCCCGATAGATTTTTATTTTAAGTTTCCTGGATTATCTTCGTGCAGTGGTTCTTGCCTATGCCTTATAGTTACCTGTGAGTTTTTAAAGTCATGATACCCAATCTGCCCCACAGCACTGAAATAAAAATTTTAGTGGGGAGGGAGATACAATATATATCTTTTAAGTTTACTAGCGATTCTAGTGTGAACCCAAGGTTGAATGCCACAGCCTGTATTTGGTATACTTAGTACAAGGATCTCTCTTAGGGATCTTTGACCATAGGTGTCCCAATGGTCTTAGGGTAGCTGAAATCTTGTCCATTTACCCCAGGGTGCTTTATAATGCCATCTTAAAAATAAGCCTTTACATGTAAAAAGTTAAGAAGTTCAGAATAATGGTTTTGCCTCCAGTGCTGGTTTCTTCTGATTCTGTTATGTTCAATATACTTTAAGGGTGATCAGTAATATTTTGTGGGATAATTTCCCTTTTGATCATTTGTTTCACTGATTGAAACACAAATGAACCATCTAGTTTTATAATTACCAAAGTGATAAGATATATTTATTATAATTTCCATTATCTGTTGCTGTCCCAAATTATTTTATTTACACACGGAGAGTGTTATTAGTACCTAGCTTGTGTTATTGAAGGACTAAATAAGGTTTTTCATTTTTAATGAAAAGTTCTTTTTTGTTTTGGCATAATATGAGCATTAAAAAGTCCAGACCTTAGATCCATTGACCTAAAATCTGACTTTGAATAAACTCAGCTCTTTAGTATATATACTCACATATACACACAAGAAGAATGAGAGAGGAAGGGAAACTTTCTGTCAAAAACATTAATGTAGTTAGTTATGTGACAATATAATATTCTTGGAAATCTATAGTGAAGGGCAGAATAAACTACTTTTTTTTCAGTTCCCAGGATGCACATGCAAAAACGCACAAAATTGGCATGTGCAGTTATGCACATTAGGTGACAGCAAAACCCATAAAGTTCATGTGAAAGTCATTAAAGTTCAGAATAAAATTCATGAATCTTACTATTTAGTAAGACTTTTAAACAGTAAGATTCATGAGTTAGTTAATTTCGTGCAATAGAATAGTTCTAACCAGTTTGGTCACTGATACTACTAAGTTCTATCCGGCACTGTCTTGTCTTTCTACTTATCTCATTGAAACCAGTTTGTTTCTTCCTTCTTTCTTTTTTTAAAATCTATTTATTTGTTCTAATTAGGTGTAATAACAAAAGAATGCATTTTGATTCATTGCACACAATTGCAGCACAACTTTTCATTTCTCTGGTTGTACGAAATGTAGCGTCCCACCATACATGCAGTTCATACATGTACCAAGGGTAATGATGTTCATCTCATCCCACCATCTTTCTTGCCCCCATACCTCCTCCTCTCCCTCCCCTTTGCCCAAAGTTTTTCCATTTTTCCCATGCCTTCCCCACCCCCCACCCCCATCTTTTTCTTTATTCTTACATTCTTTGCTTTCTGGTGTTTCTTACTTTGGCCTCCTAGTGCCACCTAGTGGTACATGGGGCATGAAGAAACTTTAGGTTGTCCTCTGAGATCTTGGCTTTTAGTATCTCCGTGGATTAATAGGAACAGTTTCAAGTGTTCCTTCTCAACTTTGTGAGCTCAGCCCCTCTATACTGAGCATCAGGCTTTTATAGGTGGGGTTTTTAGGTACCATGCTCTTTTTTTTTTTTTTTGGTAGTGCTGGGGATTGAATCCAGGGCCTTGTGCATGTGAGGCAAGCACTCTACCAACTGAGCTATATCCCCAGCCCCCATGCTCTTTTCTACTTAGAGAAGTTAAAACATTGTCTTCACTAGTTTTGGGAAGGCACCTATGTGCTGCTATCTTCACTAAAGAAGTTTGAAGGGTATACACACCCATGTATATTTCCTACTCCTTTAAATCAGAAAACATTAATAATGTTGCTTTCATTAGGCCACTGTGATTCAAATCATAAGAGGGTGGCTTTAAATGTCATCTATCTTCTATGATTCCTAAACCAATGTGTCTACAGTCTACATTTGTTGTGAATACCTACTTGACATTTTCATGTGGATATTGTGGCAAAGACAGTGGTGTTCCCTAAATAGCCCATCTACTTCCAGCTCCATGTGCAGTTTGTTGAGGCCCTGAGTTCTGGTCAGTTGGGCTATGAGTGAAAATGTATTATGCATTCCTGGGCTGACCACAGAAGAGCTGATATGATATCTGTCCATTTGCCTCTTTTCTTTTTTCCTGATTTAATAAGGACTTGTTTTTGATTTAAAAAAAAAAAAAGGTCTCAAACATCAGGCTGTTCACAAAAGTGACCCACATTATCAACTTTAGAAAACAAAGACTACTACACTAACTATTCTTCTAAAGATGCACTTAACATGCCAGCTCTCATTCACAAAAATACATTGTTGTATTTTTGTTGAACAGCTCTACACAGGACTATTATGTGGGGGATAAAACACATACCTCTAACTCAATGCTGCTCTCAGGTGCTACAACTAAATGAGATTGCCTTTGCAGTTAGGGAAGCAACTACTGAAATCATGTATCAATGGAAAGAACTGTACTCTCTGCGTAACAAGAGATTATTTTGGAGACAATTGATAAAAGCATATATTCTTTTTATTGTGAAGTCATGAAGAGGTATCAAAATTAAAAGCGAAAATTACAGGGTAAGACTTAACAAAACTGCTATGAGCATCAAAGGAAGTGAAAATGGTACTAGACATAGGGCAAAATGAATTAATGAACATGGGAAGGACAAAAATAGAACAGTGAGCATGTGCTGAAGATACTAGAGAGAGGATCTGGTGAAATTTTGATCTTAGACAAGAACCTAGGTAAAGAAATAATGGGATAAGATTTCTAAACCCCACTATGTGTTTAAGAGTCATGCAGTTCTTCCTCTGCCTCTATTAGATCATTCTTGATCAACTCCAGCTGGTCATCCCCCATCTTCATTATCGTCATCATCCAGTAGGTCCCCCTCCTCAGCAGAGTCATCTGTACCCTCCTCAGACTCCATCTTCACATTAGTCTCATTGTTCTTTAGGGAGCTGCTTGTTTGCTCTGCTCCTTTTCAATTTTTTTCCAGGCTTTCCAAAAGAGAATCCACTTTTTGTTTTATTTGGGTCAGCTCCTTCTTAATGGCCTGAAGGTCATCTTCTTTCAACTTTCCAGACTTCAAAGAAGATCCCTGCAGTCTGCCCTTCGAATTGAAGCCACTTTTGCCCCTTCAGGAGTTGTATCCTGATACACGCTGGCATTTAGAGGGCACCACAGCCCTAACAATAATAGTAGGAGGAGGAACTCATGCTGGATAACTATAAATCCTGTTATAATAATCCTGTTGAAAGTCATAGTCCAAGTTAAAAGAGGAGATTAATAGAGGAGACAGAGAAGGGTGTTCTGGTATTGACCCGTACATCTCCACTGCAGATCATTTCACACCTGCTTTTCCTCTGTTCACTTTTGGTTCTGCAGCCATTAATATCCAAAACCTGCCAGCAATCATTCTGCCATCCTCTCTTGCTACACATCCCCAAGCATTTCTCTCATTTATATACTGGATGATGGCAAAAGCCCTTATGGACAGAACAACCCACAATTTTTGCCATACTTTGAGAAGATTGCCTCCACATCAGACTTCTTGATAACCAGAGTGTTGAGATTCCCAATGAATACATGGGAGTTCATGGATGGAGGATCTGTCTCGTTGGTAATGTTGCTAGCCATCGTGGTTGATAAAGTTCCTCACAAAGGCGAAAGAACATCACCCAGGAAGGGTGTGCATCTGTTCTGAAGGCCCCTCTGGTTAATGCTGCTCTGGGCTTGGCATCCATGTTGCTACCAGTGGCCTCTTTTTCTATCACAAAAATTAACACCATCCTATGTGGGAGAATCAGCCTGAGGCTTTGAGTGATTATGTGGAACAAAGACCACATGCTTTTCCCCCTGATACACTTCCCCAGTTTCCACCAAGATGTGAAAGACATATAACTTAAGTGAAAAATAAAATTTTGTTGGTAAGCCATTGAAATTTTGAGGTTGTTATTATAACATAACGTAGTTTAACCTGGTATCTCATGATAATA